CGATATAAGTGATCGCCGAGTGCATTTAACAGGGCTCGTTCCGAGAGAATCTAACTTAAAGATCGAAACGTTCCTGCGCACGACTAATGCGACCCGGCACGGAAAGGTGTTTAGAGCCGATTACACTGGATTTTAACGATTAATTCTGATACAGAGAGAACGGTTGCGTTGCGTAATTACGTTCATAATTAATCCCACCCTTCTGTATCCTGCACGGAACAAATTATGTTGCATCAACGATATCAGTGTACTTGAAATAAAATGGTTGAAACGACATCGGTATTAACGAATGAAAGACATGGGATATAGTTGTCTTGGGGGATGCTGGAGCGATTCTTCACCTTTTGCACCCAGAACTGCCAATTCATGGAAACATTTATGTAATATCATGTGGCTTTTGCGCACAGACCGACAGTGTTCCACTGAACGGACTGAGTAGCCATTTTTTTCCACGTGGGCAAACTGTCATTCCGCACTCTTATACACTCGCGCAGATCGCATCGCCCACCGCTCAACTCGCCGCTACTCCGCGACGTTAGTCCGCGTGCGCCAGGATGGCAATTATTCCGACTTGCTCCGAGGCGATGGCGCAACAATTTCATTGGCCGTGCCGCACAGATTTGCGCGTCCGCATTTATTTATACGTCAGCCGCAGCCCTTCCGTGTTCGCGACGTTCACCAAACACCGTTCACCCCAATTGCGAGTTTAGCGCGACTCGTAAATGCTGGAAGTCGGAGAAATGCAAATAGCTCATTGCAACAATGCCCGCTCGTCGTGTTCTCAGTCCTTGGATTCGTGCACTCCCAGCTTGCTAACACCATTTACCAAGCGCCGACGCACTTCCCCACCGGCTTTGAAAGATGGTTTCGTGCGACGAACAGACGAACATTTCCCGCGTACCCGGCAAAACTCCACACGGTCCATTAATTTCGGCCGATGATGTCGACTTATTCACGCGGGATCGCGCGCTAATAAGCGTCCCTATACGACACGAAAGCGAACGAGTGCTCTCATTGTCAGCCTGCCCTCGCGGGAGTTACGTTAATTGAAACGTGATTATCCACGACTTACTTCTTAATGTACGTCAGTGTAACCGTTGATTAATGAAAACGATGCAGAACTGAAGGCAGTAAATTTAATTAAAAATTCAGAGTTTCATACTTAAAAACAGCACGTCACGTACGTCGCTCATCTCTGTCAGGTTTAATAGCATTTTTGCACTATCCAATTTCAAAATCCACTTTAGACGATTTGCAATTTACATCGGAATTTTTTAATAGAGTTCTTGTGATTGTAATTTTTTATTTACTTTGATTTTAATATATGTACATATTATACGTGTACTTTGGTTCTTCAAATGTTTTTTTTTTCATGTTACGCGGTAATGTAATATAAAATTATTACAAAATTATATTCTATCCTACTTTCCGACGCGAATTAAAGCTTATCTAAAACAGGATTAAGCGAAACGCGAAAGTACATGAATTTATAACAGAAGAGACGATGTTTCGCTCTCGTAATCGGCACCGTTCGTTTATCGGGCATTGCGTCACTTCCTTCCCGTTCGCGTTTCAAGTACAAGCTATGCCAATGTTATTGAAAAAACGGATGCGCATTGTTTCTCTGTGGCATTTGCAACCCATTTCTCGAATTTTTTTGTTAGTAAAAACGCCATGACACGTAAAAACGCTGGCTAACGATCTTCAAATTGTTGAAAACGCAGAAATAATGAAATATTAATATTTCATATATTTCGAGTCCAAAGGCGAATTTAATTTTCACCGAATTTTAATTGGCATTTTAATTGCTCGGATATCAAATATCGAAGAGATCGCAACGGATAATGTTTCCCTTTCTCGGCCGCTTTCGCCGTAAGAAACTTGACTCTGAATTTCGCGGAGGGCAAACAGGGTGTCCGCGCCGATTAGACTGTTGAAGAAAAAAATGTGCAAGAACACGAATAATCGTTTCCTACAGTTTGCCGGGCGCCGAACACGAGCGCTTACCAAATTGTTCTATCGCGTCACAATTTTGAGAGGGTTGCAAGAAGGGCTATTTTAGTCTGTTTTGGTATGCAATAATTACAACGTACGACGTGTTGGAAAAGTTCGTGAAATTAAGGGGATGCTGAAGTAATTCTGCTCCTCGAACTGTCAATTCATGAAAACATCTGTGTATTATAGATTTTTTATTAGGCTTCTAAACTTAATTTCAATGATACCATGCTGTGCTCTGATTTAGTCCAATTAGTGGAGCACTGTCGGTCCGCACGCAAAAGCCACATAATTTGCATATGGCACAAATGTGTTCATGGATTGACAGTTCTGGATGCAAAAAGTGCAAAAGGTGCAGAACTACAGAAAGAAATTTCTCGTGTCAATTATGATTAAAAGAATATTGATCCGCGTAGAAGTTTGCGTCAAGGTTGCGACTTCCCTAGGCTCGCTAGGGCTCTGTGAAATATTGTTTAATTACGTTATTCAAACGCGAGAGACTTTGAATAATTTTTTTATCGAACAGTGTTGCGAGACACCTTTTGTTTAAGCGCCGATATTCGCTGACAATATTCCGTCCCGGCTCTCGCAGAACCGATAACTTCGCCCTCGGCGGGCTGGACTGGAGGAACGGATAGAGATAAAATATCAACGAGATAGCGCGATGTAGATAAGCCTTAATTCCATGAATATATTATAACACCTCGACGAGACCCTCGACCTTGTTCGTTCCAGCTCACGATGTAACGCGCGCAACGAGACCGCCGGCTGGGCGTGGAAGTCTTTTTTTTTTCTAAAATAAATGCGCTATAAAAGAGGCAACGAGGGGCGTATAAACTATCGATTTGTTGTTCTCGAATGAAGGCGGTTCGACGTAATCAGCGGCGCTCGCAAAAAAAAAACTGGTTCGCGGCTCGCCGCCGGATGTGGAGTGAAATAGCCGTCCTTATCGCCGCGACACGCTCCATTAAGGTGAGAATATGTATGTCACCATGGGCATCCGCCGATACCACCGAGAGGTTCGCCTCCTTCAGAAACGTCGATTAGTCCACTTCTCCGATAAACGGCCGTCTTAGATGGGGTGACTTTCCCCTCGCATAATACATTGCGTCACGAGCCGCGAGATTTCTCCACGTCGGGGTATCCCATAAAGTTATGTAATGGCCGCGCGAATCACGCTTCCCGCTCGTGAAATCGCGTTTTCCATTGGCGCGCGGCTGATCAATTAATCCGTCGAATTGATAACCCGCAATTGCTGCAGGAGTCGAATTAATTACCCGGAAAATGCGCGGGACGTCGGGGAGAGTATTTTCACGAGTGTGCTATTATTTCTGCGCCAGTTCGGCCCTTCGCTCGTGTCGTATGTGAATTTTTCGAAAAGTGGCTCCGCCGGTTTCTCCCCTCGGGGACATTTAAGCGAAGCGTGAAATAGCGGCGCGCGGGACGAGAAACGCGTGCGTAGGAGCCAGTTATTACCGACACGCTCGCCCCAACGGCAAGACTGCCTACGTGCCCGAGTCTATTACTCAGAAGTGCATCCCGTAATGAAGTTTTCGAATGTAATAAAGTTCCGTCGTCGAATGCCATCGCAAATAATGTCCCCGTGCAAATAATAGATTTTGCCGATGGCGGCAAATTAATTCCGCTCGGCGAGCGGCGCGATAAATTTTACGATTGCGACGCGCTATAACGCGGTACCTCGTTAAGCCCAAACCTTGGGCCCCAAGTATATGCACGACAGGTCCCCGCACGTCGCTTCGCGGTGTCCTATAATACGGGCGCGACAACGTAGGGGTAGGCCGCGCGTCGAAGAATTTCGCCCCTCGTGATATATAAACGCGTTGCATATTTACTGGCGCGGCGGTTTGAGGATCAGGTGTCGAAATTTATCGTTGCCGTACGATACGCGAAAATCCACGGCCTTGACACCCCTCGGTATCGAACACGTCGAACGAACCTGAGGCACCGATATGGAGCGGCGGGGGAGGGGGGGGGGGATACTCGTAAACCCAATCGAATATGAATTTGCTGCAACCGGTCTCGAAATGAGTTTTCAATCGTTTCGATGCATGTTGGTCTCTGCGTTCGGAAACATCGCCCGAGGGCCCCAGTGTATCACACTATCCTTGTTGCTCACCGTCTGTTAAGCAAGGATAAAATGATACACCTGGGTGATGTTTCTGAACGTAGCCTTGAAGTGACTGCGGAAGGCGCACCAGAATACCCGAGACCAGTCGCGTAGCTGGTACCAGCTGGTCTCCGAAATTGCACGGGGGAATAAAGATCCGTTTCTCCGTCGCGTCCGCCGAGGTTTAACGCAGCCTCGCGCCGGAAACTTCGGACACTTGGATGATGTTTCTGAACGCAGCCTTGAAGTGATTGCGGTAGGCACACCGGAGTACCCGAGACCAGTCGCGTAGCTGGTACCAGCTGGTCTCCGAAATTGCGCGGGGGAATAAAAGATCCGTTTCACCGCCGCGTCGCCGAGGTTTAACGCAGTCTCAAGCCGGAAACGTTTCTGAACGCAGCCTTGAAGTGGCCGTGGTAGGCACACCGGAGTACCCGAGACCAGTCGCGTAGCTGGTACCAGCTGGTCTCCGAAATCGCACGGGGGAATACAGATCCGTTTCTCCACCGCGTCGCCGAGGTTTAACGCACTTGGGTAATGTTTCTAAACGCAGCCTTGAAGTGATTACGAGAGGCACACCGAAGTATCCAAGACCAGCCGCGTAGCTGGTACCAGCTGGTCCCAGCTGGTCTCCGAAATTGCGCGGGGGAATAAAGATCCGTTTCTCCACCGCGTCGCCGAGATTTAACGCAGCCTCAAGCCTCGCACCGCCGCGATTGCCCGCGTCCACGTCGGATTCGGGCATGCCGGATTCGGATCGAAGATCGAGTACTCGGGGGAAAAGACCGGGTCCTCGCGCACCCCGCGCGCGGCCGCAGCGCGGCGGGGCGCGGTGGGACGGGGCGGGTTGATAGGTAGGTTCACACGGGATACTCACGGAAATGGGGTACGGTGCGCCGCGCGAGGGAAACGCGCACCGGCCGCCGATGGAGGGGCACCAGCGTTCACTTGGCGCGGCTGCACGTTTTCACGGGGCAACACCTCGGGGTTAACACTCAGGCGGCGCACGACGTCTCGCTGCGTGTCATGATGCTCGACGGAGAGACCAACGGTCGCGGGAATTGTCCTCGCGGTGAACGCGCGCGCTACCGGGGACCAAAGAGGAAAGGCCGCCGGACGCGACTTGGACGGCGCGACGACGACGAGCCAAGTGGCGGAAGCGTTCGGAGGCAGAAGATAGGGGGTGGCTTATCGAGAGGAAAAAGAAAGAGAGACAGAGTGAGAGAATAACAGAAAGAAAGAGAATAAGAAAGAGAGGGAGGGAAAGAAAGAGAGAGGGAGGGAGAGAAAAGAGAGAAAGAGAGAGGATGAGAGAAAAAGAGCAGAGAGGGGTGAAAGTGTGCCAAATCGAGTCAACTATCGGCCGGTCACTGTGGGGTTGTTACGGGAAGATATATAAGGTGGACACCCCGATGGTGGCAATAGATTGATAGACAACCGCGTGGCAGCTAGAGTCGCGACGCACTGCTGCTTCGTTCGCGGCTTGCGAAGCCCCCCACCATGGATTTTCACCAGCTCGCTCCCGTTCTCACCCACCCCCGCGCGCACGGTCAACCCCCACCTGGTCGCCGGCGCACCAGCCGAACTACGGGCACCTCGCAAAGCTGCCGACCACCACACCACACCCCCGCACAGCTCGCACACGACTTGTTTGCCCCCGAAGGCCTCACTCTTGCAAACGGCCCTCCCGCAAAGCGCGGAAGCGGAAAGTCGAGCGCAAATTCGCCCCGCGACCTCTCTTACTCGCCCCCGATTCAGCGACACCCGAGTCGCCGTGGGGTGACTCGGGCGCCTTGAAAAGCACCCGAACTCCGTACAGCTCTGTCAACGGGGTCCGAACAACTTGATCGCGCCGAGTACGGGATTGCATTGCGGCGCCAAGTCAACGAAGACGGTACTTTTAGGTCGCGCGACGAGAAAAAGATGCATTTCTTTTGTCTTATTTGCCTTCCGTCGACTTGCACGTCCTGAAATATATGATATGCGCAGTTTGCTGCGCCGTGAAAAAAAATGTGCGCATAAAAAAAATCATTATGCACCAGATCCAGCGTAATAGGCGTTTCTATAATTTGTGCCACTTATACACAACGGTAAAGCTCGCTTACTGTTATACAATACGCATTTTTACGTTGCTCTCTTTTGAATTTTGGTACGTCGTGATTTGCTTTTAATCCTTTAATCTGACAAATTTCGTAGCGCTTTGTATCCCGCATGCTACCGTTTTTTTACTCTTTCTCCCTCGCCATCGGTGGAAGATGCAGCTTGCCAAGAGTTACAAAACTTTTCATTTGGAGATTCATCGTTATCCCTAGCGGAAATAATTTCTACAAATAACTACAAAGAATTGACTTGAAATAGAAATTTGTATAGAAATTTTTGTATCTTCATTGAAACGTTAATTTCTTTTTTTGTAAAAATATCTACGAAATAGCACCACGAATTACAATGTTCTCAAGTCAAGAAATTATTGCAAGTAGTATTTCATGAAAATGTACAATTTTGTAAAAATTAGTACAAAACTTTACTAACTACTCTTAAAGAATTAAAATGTCTGCTCACTCGTAGAATATTACAAAAATTAACGAAAGTGTTACAATTCTGGTAATTTCATGTTAATTTTTATAATACTTTAAATTTACGTAGAATTTCTTAGAATCTGGCAGTTATATTTAATTTGTTTGTAGAATTTTGTAGAATTATTTCCGGCAGGGATCCGACGGATTCTTACTTTCCACATAGACGTCAGCTTGTACCGCACTTCGTCATATCTCATTACATTGTCTCGTATGATGTAACGATATGCAGCCGCGCTAATCTACTTCCGCAATAATTACCCGCCCGGATAAGAGCGTGACATTTAGGGTCTATTACGTTCTGTTATCGACACATTAGTGGATTGACACCAGAGCTATTCACAGCCACTTCGCGTTCCAACGACGCCGTTACCGAAAGGATTAAACTAGCTGAATACCAGCGGCACGGGCGTTGAATCGTAGGTTTAGCTATGTCAGCCCGGGGAAGAAAATGGAGGAGCTTATATAGTGGTATTCCGATCTTCAGTTCTGCCAAGAATACTTGACTATTAAATAGTTTTCGCAAGACACTAACTCTCTCCTCCGCGCGCTAATTCCGTATTCTTAACTCTCTTGTCAGAGGATGCTTAGCATACTTTAAGTTGTAGCATACAATATTAGTGTAAGGAGGTATTCCAGCACATTAGACCTACGTTGTACACAAAATGAAACAACAGACCGTATTTAAAACGAATAGTCCGCCTATAAAGGTTTTAATATGTCGGAATAACTTCAGGTAAAAATAAAGAAGTGAAAAATTATTGCATTAGCAAGTAAGGCACAAAAAGGGCACTAATTGCATCAGCCCCTTTTTCTGTAAAACGCAAGTTTATTAAAGTTATTAAAAAATTATAAAAATATAAAGATAAATTTTAATATACAGAAGAAAGTCCCCGATAAGGCTTCTAATATGAGACAGCGGGTTCTCAACGTCCAAATTCAGTCGCAAATCTCTTTTCGCAACTATAAACACAATCGAACAATGAATTTTTTATTAAACAGATTTCACTCCAAGAGCAATAAATTTACTGCGGAACCAACAGATGACGTCTATTAGTAGAAACCCTCTTATTAGGGTCCTATCTCATAATAGGGGGCTTCCCTCTATGTGTAACTAAATATTTTACCTAAAATAAACTATCAGGCGGCGTCGCACATGTAACGCAATTAACGTTTAATAACGCGATGATAGTAAAAACAATGTAACAACAATTAAAATGGAATAATAAAAATAACTGAAATAATAAAAGACAAAAAAAATATTTTAAAAGAGGAAAAATAGAAAGTGTTTGTGTGTCGTGCTCATCGCCTTTGCTAGTCCAGGACGATATGGCGATCAGAGAGGCTGTCGACGAATTCTCGAGACCGAGATTGCCGCTTTAAAATTCTCTTGCACCGACACCAGCTACGTAGCGTAAAAGTTGGATGCTACGGGCCTCGTTTAATCGCATAACGGAGCGAGCGAGAATAAGGGAGTAAATGGAAGTCTCGGGAGGGCTCGTTTAATCTCTCGGTCAAGATTTAACCTACGGGTTAGTCTGATTCGCACTTAACAGCCCTCAGCTCGATCGTGCGTTCACTTTAGGACTACTAATTAAACAGGCTTGCTGCAACGAATCGATCGATCTTGAAACTTCAATAGAGGGGCAGTCGACGGGCCACTTGCTAACAGTCAGGCCGACCAAGACTGATATTTCGATCGTCCTGTCCCACCACGAATGACACGAGCGATAAATTCCCCCCCCCCCCCGTTTCACTTTGTAGTGAATATAAAAGAGCACAGACAATAGAGATATAGAACAGACATTTGCCGGAAACATCGAATGCAAGTACTTTTTTTTATCCTTAGTCGCAGTCATCCTTTTTGTCAGAGGTAAAAAAAAAACTAAAACTAATAGATGTTACACTGTAACGATACAATATATTGCGCGAGTCTTGATAAAAGCTAAACTCAATTAACAATCAAATCAACGGTTTGCTTTCCTCAATATATCGAAACCGTCTTCGATATCGACATTATGTAAGTGCGATCGATATTGCATAATATCTCATATCAAGCTGTTGATTTCTTTGTAATAACTTTTAATGGAATTATTTCTTCGAATGACGCTGCGTCAGCTTGGAATTTTTCTATTAGGAGCTTTCTGTAGCTCTCACATAATTTATTAAAATTTGAATAAGCGGATAATCGAATTTGACATAGACGCACATCACATTCCGACTGAGATATCGCAATCCGATCGAATATCGATGTATGAGGCACGCGATCCTATTATAAAATACCTTCCCTCACCACTTCTGTATTTTTAACAATACTTTTTTATTCTTTATCGTCATTCTTGCACAGGTTCCTTTTTCATCAAGAGTAAAAGCTAGGTCTGAACCAATATCGTACAAAGTAATGTTCTAACGACACTATATGTTGCGCCAATACAAGTCAAGCTCGGTTTTATTTCTTCAATATATTGTGACAATTTTCAATATAGACATTGCATAATCAGATTACGTTATTTTAGCTCTTTATAAAGATTATCATTTTTTACGCTTTTTCAACTGATATCGCTTTCATTCGTGACAAGTTTCTATAATCATCTGATTCATTAAAGTCTTACAACACAGTTTTAGGCCTGAGCTATTTATTAAATTTTTGCATTGTCGCTTTTCAAATTGTCTCGATTATCGTCGTTTGCATTGTTTCTTTTCTCCTTTTAATATACGTTTGCAATTGCATAGAAGCACTGAATTATTCAGTGCTACACTTATAACTGTGTTTCAGTAAACATTCACTGTTTTCAGTGACAATTCGCCGAGTGACTTTTAGAGAGAGTAGCATACTCTTAATATTTTTAAAAGAAAGAAAATTAATACAAAATAGCATTCCATAACGATGAGTAAGTACATTTTCATATGAACATTGTCGACGAAATAAATTTCATCAATAATAATTATCAAGTGTAAGAGTTATTTAAGAGAATCATCGAACTATTACTTACTATTAATAATTTTATAAATATTATCAATATTTGTCACCAAACTATTTACAAATATGACAAATGCTACAAATATTGAAGGATCGTCCGTTACATCGGAATTGATAAAAAATATTGGTTGAAAGAGATGTTGATACGCGACCGTTGAAACAAACTAACAGAACTCCCATATTTTTTCTTGCAACATGGTTAAATTAATATTGGCAACATGGATAACGTGTAAACTTTTTTTTTTCCACGGGTGAAACATTTTTCCCAAATCACCTTAAAATCTGAGTAAATAGGTCGTATGTATCAATTCACGTTCGTATCACACATTTAGCGTCGGATACGCGATTCTTAATTCACATAACATTATATATCATTATACATTAGGCAAATTAAACTCAGCTTCAAACGAGCGCGCTCAGTGTGCTAAATATCAGAATCAAATGCAGATTACTAATATTGAATAAAGCAGGTGACACGAATCACATTAATGTCCATTTATCTATAGATATACGTATGTAGTATAGATGGGGAAAACCGAACATTTTTTCCTTAAAAGAGATTCTTCGCGACGATTTGACGAACTCTAGATATGTAGAAATCGAGTGGGAAACCGCTGAGGACATTGTGGTGCACAGATTTGCGGCATTACTGGCCATTACTGGGCATTACTAGGCATTTTTGGGCATTAGTTTGAGCATTAGGC